TAATAATTCGCAACCAGCCGTAGAGTCGACGAGCTGATCAATTTGTGGTAAAAGGTAATGATCCTTCGGGCAAGCCAGGTTCAGGTCCCGGAAATCGATGCACATGCGCCATTTGTTTAGTGCCTTTCTTACCATCACAGTGTTGGATATCCATTCGGGAAATTGGATTTCTTTGACATGTCCTGCCCGCAGCAGCTTATCCACCTCAACTTCAATTGCTTTGTCGATCTCTTCCCCGTGACGTCTAAGTCGCTGTTTTACTGGTTTTCTGAGGGGGTCGACATTGAGTTTATGCTCCATAACAGCGGGGTCGATCCCTGTCAACTCTTCAGGGGTGAAGGCAAAGACATCCCTGAACTCCTTTAATAGTGCGATCAGCTGGTTTTGTAGCTCGACTTTCAAATCTTTCCCGACCTTAGTGGTCTGTTCCTCTGTTTCTCCGATTTGTATTTCCATTAACTCCCCGTGGGGTTCGAGATCAGTATTCCTTGGCCTTTTCTCGCTCATCATTGGCTTTTTTCCTTCCTTCACCTCCGTCCGTTGGTTTGTCCTTACTGCAATTTGATAGCAGGTTCTCGACAGCCTCTGGTCGCCTCGGGCCTCTCCTACCCTATCTCCGACAGGGAATTTTAGCTTCATATGATAGGTTGACACTACCGCTTGGAATGCGTTGAGTGCCGGCCTTCCCTGAATCACATTATAAGCCGACTCGACGTCGACCACAACGAATCGCACCATTTTTACCTTCCTTAAGTCGCCTTCCCCGAGGACGACAGCGAGGGTGGTTTCCCCTAGGGGGGCAACTTCCGAGCCATTAAATCCAAAAAGAGAAGTGTGGAGAGGTGAGAGTTCAATATCGAGTTCCATGTGTTTAAGACAATCGAAAAAGATCACATTCACCGAGCTCCCTGTGTCGACAAAGATTCTCTGAACTTCGTAGCCCGATATCTGGGCTGTGATCATCAAGGCGTCGTTATGAGGCCTCTCAACTGCTCCTATGTCGGCTGGCCCGAAATTCATTACTGGACCATCCTCTTCGACCTGCTGCACTTCGGTTTTCCCATGTCGGCCTCGAGCATATGCTTTTCTAGCCCGGTTTGAATCGCCATCAGTTGGCCCTCCGAATATCATATGGATTACTCCTCTTTTTTTAGGAAGCTCTTCTTTGTCGGGTGTTCTTGCCCTCTTACGAGGGCTTTTGCTCCTTTCCCTCCGTCGACTGATTCGTTCTCGATCTTTGTAAACGAACTCCTTTAGATGGCCTGCTTTGATGAGTCTCTCGATTTCATTCTTTAAGTGCTTACATTCATCAGTGTTATGGCCGTAGTCTTTATAAAACCGACAATATAGATTACTTTTGGGTTTTGTCGGTCCATCTTTCCTCGTTCGTGGCCACCTGACCACGTCATCACGGATCTCCCTTTCCATGACTTCCAGTATTCTTGCGTGCGAGGCCAACAGATGAGTATATTGGGTTGTTCTCCATCCCCTTGATCGTCCCTCTCTCTCGGTTCTCGGGGATCCTTTCTTCTCGGCGGTCGAGGCAGGCTTTTTATCCTTCTTCTCTTCCTGAGGCTCAGCTTTTGGCTTAGCCGCCTGCCGAAAGTCGGCTTCGGCTTCCTCGACATTCATGTATTTGGCGCACCTTCCCAGCACTTCATCGAACGTCCTCCCAGGCCGCTTTGCTAGGGAATTTCTGCACAATCCCGGGAGTAGCCCTCGAGTGAGTCCTCCCGACTTGATTTCCTCGGTGGCCGAGGGGACGTCGACACACGCCCGTGTGTACCTTGCCACGTAGTCCCTCAATGATTCCCCTTCCTTCTGCTGCATACCTATCAAAGTAAGGTATGACTTTTCTTGGGCTCTTACACTTGCAAATTGGTTTAGGAAACTTGAGCTGAATCCTTCAAAATCCCTGACGGCCCCCGGGGGCAACTGATGAAACCAGTCCTGCGCGGGCCCTCGCAGGGTTGTTAGGAATGCTCGACACTGAACGGGGTCGTTGTAACGGTGTAGCACTGCCATGTTTTTGAAACTTTTGAGATGCCGAGAGGGGTCAGTCGCTCCGTCATACCAGATATTAAGTTCCCTGAACCCTTGCGGCAAGTCGGCATCTAAAATATGTTGTGAAAAAGGGTGTCCCCTCGAGCCTCCTGTTTTTCTTCCTTCCACCCGAGCCTGCAAGTCTCGGACCTGCGCTAACAGCTGCTCCAGCGTATCGTTTCTGGCTTGTGGATTAACGGTCCTGACAGAGGACTCCTCCTCGTCTATCCTCCTGTTTTGCCTTTCATGCGATTGTGCCTGTTGTTCGCGCTCGGGGGGTTGCTGCTCATTCTGGGGCTGTTCGACCCTCGCTTGTTCGATCCTGGGCCGCTCGACCCTTGGTTGTTCGACTGGCGTCTGTTTGAGTTGGGCCGCCACTGCCTCCGCGATCATTTTCTGCATCTCGCTTCTCGTCATGGTCAGCGTTTGTTCCTCGCCTTGGGGCGGTGGCCTTGTCTCCTGGTCGAGTCGCCCAGGCTGCCTCCCCATCCTTAGAGAGATTTCGGTTGATGCGTGATCACCTGTCTCTCCGCTTGTGTCCTTCACGTGGCTGGCCTCCCCCTGAGTGAGAACCGGGATCTTGACTCCGGGTGGGGTAATAGGCGTCTCTTCTCCCGTACGCCCTCCTGACGGCGCGTGTGCCCCAAAAGGTGGGAATCCCAGCACCTGGAGCGGTGGTCTAAAGCTGGGAATCGGCGGAGGTCGCTTGTCCGTCCATGTTGCCCTCAAGTCCTCGCTCAAGTTTTTCTGCACTCCTTCCTTCTCAGCCATCGAAAACAGATCCAAGCTAGGTGTAAAGCTCTTAATTCCTTCAAGAGCTCCCCACAGACGGCGCCAAATGATGGGTTTCTTCTCAGATCTGGAACGGTCCAATGAGAAAACGTCCGGATCTGGGACGAACCGGTACGGATGAGCTTAGATCTGATGTGATGGCGATTGAACCGTTGTTGTTGAGCCGCAAGAACACCTGCAAGAACTCAACGCCGGAGGGGTTTCCGGCGTAGAGCCTCCGAGCTCAAGTCAGTATATGAGAGAGATGATGATAGCTGCTATCAGAGCAACAGCAGTAATGAAAAGGATATGGAATGAATGGGAGTTAGGGTTTTGGGATTACCTCAGTCCTTTATATAGGAGTACAACATTTACCTGAAGTCCCCAAAGTGCCCCGACCGACTTAATGGAAATGTCCAGAATACCCCGGTCGGTTCATATTCTGCCTACTTCCTAGTCAGCATCTAGATCCTTCCTTAACTTCCTTCTTATCCTTAACTCTTCTTCAATATGTTGAGGTGTGTCTAAGCTATCGAGGACCACGAACTGCGAAACTCTTTCAGTCGACCTGAGATATTGGGTCGAGTCGACTGGGCCGCATCTTGTCGGAGGTCGACTCATACTAGTCGACATATGCTAGTCGACTCGATCGGTGGCCGGGATTCTTGACTGAATATCGTGGAACCTTACTAGCGTAGTCGACTTTGTCTAAGTCGACTTGGTGGTCTCGAACCGTGATGGTATAAACCGCTATGAGCCAATGTGGCTATATCAAAATGATAATAATAATAATAATATATTTTTAAGCACTTTCTTCGATATAGCACCATTTGTTTAAGATATTTACTACCTTCTCAATGACATACAATAAAAATATTAATTATCATACAAAATATATCTAATTGGTACTTACTCAAGCTGGTATCGAGTCATCGTATCAATTGCATAATTAATAAGTTAATTTTAATTTTTTAAAAATTATTATGTTTATTAATTTATAAATATTAATAAAATAAATAATTTGTCTTTATTTATATAATTTAGAATCTATAGTATCATTTCTTATAAACATTTACTACATGAATCACAAACCTATTTTTTTTCATGACACATATTGCATCTTAAGGCGACCAAGTTATAAGTCTATTTGGTTGGACCAAATTAATTATTTCAACTAAACATGAATTATTCAGTATTAAGAATCACATGTTACGATAAATATATTGTAGTTCAAAGAATCAAATTAAGAACGCTTTTACGAAAATATGTCCAATAATTTATAAATATTCATATATTTTTTTTATTACTATTTATGTAAGCAAAATGATATTGTATTATCACTTTTAGTTACGTACTCTAAATCATGATCAAAGATAATGCTCTCTTACTCACGGTGAGCACATGTTAATATGTTCACCGTTTATGTGGCATGCTTATATTGGTGATGTTAATATGCTCAAAAAAAATACATCACCAATGTGTGCATGCCACATAATTAAGCGGTGGACATATTAACATGCAGTCATGCTAAGGAGTCAATTGTTGGCTCCTTAGCATTATTGTATTAACATGTACCCACCGTGATTAGGTGAACATTACTATCATGATCAATGTTAATATATATTCAATTTATAATACAATAATAATATTCATTCACCCTACATCACACGAGTCACATAATAGTTTGCGATTCACCATTTATAAATATATAGAGTGATTTGAATTGATTCCACAATAATATACACAATTATTGAAAAAATATTTACATGTATTATTTATAAGATTTTGTTTTTGTTTTCACCAATAGCTATATAAATAATATTTCACCACGATTTTGAGTTCGTTGTATAAAAGAATAATAATTATATTACATCACAGAGGATTCTTAAAAGCAGAGTGCTTGCGAAAGGGGAGAGGTTAAAAGCTCTGAAGAAGCAAGCAAATATTTCCTTATTCAATCCTCAGATCCCTCTCCTAATCCAATCTTTAATGGTTGTGATCGGCTCTCAGCACAAAATTCTCCCCTCGTCTGTTTGATTAGATTCAAGCACAGCCCATTGAGTATGCGAGCGATGGCGTGTGAGGGATTATAGGCAAAACGCGATCCAATAAGAAGAGGAAGAGGAAGAAGAAGAAGAAGACGAAGAAGAAATTATCGGATCTCGACGAACTTCATCCCGACGGCCATGTCGATTTCAGGTTATTTGTTCTCACCGATATGGGTTTGTAGCATTGAATCTTGCTTAGGGATTTTTGTCTTCACTGTGTTGGTGGTTTTCGGAAGGGGTAAAGGGAGTGAAGATTGATTGGTTCCTGTTCTGTTCGAATGGTTAGGAAACCCTAATATGAAATCTGTAGTTTAAGATGAATGCCGTTAGTTTGAGAATTTTAGTTGGATTTTGTTGTGTTTTTTTGGAGTCGGATTGTAAAAGTTAAAGAGTTTGGATAATAGACTATGGAAGTGTATCTAACAATTTTTTGTAAGGCCATATCCACAGTGTTTACATGGATTAGAAAATGGGCATATCATCATTCTGCTTATTAGGATTTACTGTGTTGAGCAACTCGAAATTCTGCAACTAGCACAAATCTGCATCGAAGAAGTATTGGTGTGTGTAATTGTTTTCTTAATGATATGATTATGCACATGGCTTAACTCAGTACCAGTGGAGGTATTTGAAAGAGCGAATAATGATTGTTGTCCAATAAAACCTGAGGACGTGTGCTCTTTCATTTGATACGCGCTAACGCGCATGTGGGTGATGTATTCAAATATGATTTTGTCTCAATAGATGGTGCATGTTATTAAGGTTGCATTCATATATTCATTTGAAGCTTTTGAAGATATTTATTCATTAATTTTTTTGTTTATCACCCCTGCAAAACTTAATTATTTGATTACTCAGATTAGGTAGGGATTAATTGAGATCAACTGTCTAGGAGTATTATCCTTACTCACACATATAAAAATTATGAAGATTATTGCTGATAAAGAGCTTTATTTTTCTTAGCCTGGAAAATCTAAGCCTTTCTTTTTTTTAATACTTATATGCTCTAGGTCCTTAAAAAAAGTAGAAAAATGAGCTCCGATATAATTTTTGTATTGAAGTAAATGTTACAGTGAAATTCTATCCAGATTCTCCTTTTTAGGTTGTTAAGTTCCATGTTGCTGAACTCTATTTCCTTTAAATATATGTTTGTGTCATTAACTCATATCTGCTTTTGCAGTACTTCGCGCAAAGCACCAACAAGACATGGAAAATTTGACTCTGACTTCACAACCTTTCAAGACATTAAAACTTTTCATTTTGGCTGTTAGACAGTATCTTAAACGATCGATTGCATATCTTTTATCACATTTCGGTTTACTGGTGGTGTTGAGTGCTGCTGTTGTGATCCCCAGCGTACTACTAGTGACTGTTGATGGTCCACATGAGAAGGTAATTAAAATTGTCTTTTTTTTTTGGTTATGCTAAATCTTTTTCCTCTAATTGTAATTTTATTTTACTTTATACCCTAAACAGTTTGGTGTTTTTGGGTTAATGATCACATTCTAGTAATTTCACGCGTTCCTTTATTTGCAATGCAGCATGTTGATGAAGTTTTACGTTATGTGCGATTTGGACTGTGGTGGGTGGCCCTTGGTGTTGCGTCATCCATTGGACTTGGTAAGCAAAGATTTAATTTTCATCAAGCATGTGCTTTTGAAACTTTACCTTCTCGACTAATCTTATGGAACAAACTTCTGGATTAATACCTTGTCTGCATGAGTTCTAAGAATGTTGTTTCTTCAGCAAGGATTTTTATGCTGAGCTGAATATTTTATTATGTAGTTGTTGCTTATCCATATGTAATTTGTATGACGTAAGAGCTTCAAATTGTCGAGGACATGTATAGGCCAATTTCTCATGGCTGCAATGCTTTACGCATTGTTCTCCTGTTTCCACTGACCACCAATTCTTGCACTTGATAAATCAACTAAGGGATGAGTATGGGTTGTCATTGCAGAGGATTATAGAATGGATGTTTCTATTTGTGAATTCTTGAAATAATTAAGTTGAGTGCTTAGAAGTGGGCATTGGCATTCCCTTTTGATGTCCTTAGTGTCTTAACAGAAAAATATGAGAGGAAGAGAAATTGCAAGATTCGATTGTCTTATGCGGCATTCACATATTTCAACACATTGTATATGCACGTATTTTTGTAATCAAATTGACTGTTAGGTTGCACTTGGGTAGATATGGCCACCAGTTTGAACCGAATTGTCAAACCAGCAGTTTGGAATTGTGATCAACCGAACCGAAACCAGTGACCAAGGTTTGAAACTGGAACCGATCCGTTAACCGGAGGTTCAGTTTGGCGTTTCTGGACCATGTAAACCTTTGAACTGGAACTGATGAAAAGTGACGTTTTTTCTTGGTTGGCAAAAATTCAAAATCTTAAACAATAAATAAATATATATTATTGCTGCTGCTGCTGCTATTGTTTTATTATTATTATTATTATTATTATTATTATTATTATTATTATTATTATTATTATTATTATTATTTGATCCGCAAAACTAGACTGTGTAATATACGGTTCCAACATCTAGAGTGTTGGTGTTAAATCCAAGTGAAGCATTTGGTTTTTGAATGGGTATTGCTTTTAGGTCCTATTATCTTTCAGGTGTCTTGTCTGTTTTTATATTAAATGAAATCGTTTGAAGTATGTAAGCGTTCTTTCCAGTTCAATGTTCAATGTCTATACTGATTATACCTGGAACTTGTCTCATTGTCACTTGCTTTTACACAGGATCTGGATTGCACACTTTTGTACTCTATCTGGGACCTCACATTGCTCTGTTCACTATAAAAGCCATACAATGTGGCCGAGTAGACATCAAGAGTGCCCCGTATGACACGATACAATTGAAAAGTGGTCCTTCATGGCTTGGAAAAGATTGTGCCGATGTTGGGCCCCCGTTGTATCCATCTACGCATGGCGTAAGGATTCCCCTGAGTACCATATTGCCCCAGGTTCAGTTAGAGGCAATTTTGTGGGGCCTTGGTACTGCACTGGGTGAGCTCCCTCCATACTTCATTTCGAGAGCAGGTACAAACTTAGCTGCTTAAATCAATTTTCTTATAAAATTCCATTTTTCCTTTCCACCCCAGCTAAAAGAAAAAAAAAATGTATGGAGATTTTACTTATGGCCCTTTATTTTTTCTATTCTAATACCTTCAAAACTTTTACTGGTATCTGACAAGCTTTATCATTTACCTTTGTTAGAACCCTTAGCAAGTCATATTCGATATAAGAACTAAAAAAAGTTGGAGCTTTGAGTATTGGTTGACTTGATTTATAGGCTATTATGTCAAGCCTGAAAATACACTAGCTTTTGGGTTAGAAAAATTTTGGGGGTACATCTTTTCTTGCAAGAACTACCTTTTTTTTTTCTCCCCAAGGTGAAATGTATGTGCTTTTCTGTTTACTCAGATTGTAGAGTCTATTAGGTAACAACCTTTTGAACATTAAATTTGATATTATAGGTTTCAAACAAGAACTTAAATACATGTGCTATTTTGCAGCTCGCATGTCCGGTGGTACAGTAGATGCTGTGGAGGAATTAGGTTCCTCAACAACGGAAGACGACGGTTTTGTGTCTGCTCAACTTGTTAAATTCAAGCGCTGGTTCTTGTCCCATGCACAATACCTAAATTTCTTCACGATTCTAATTCTTGCTTCGGTTAGTTTATTTACTCTTCATTTCACGACCTACAAATTACACTTGCAAATGTTACCCTTAATTACAAAAAATCCCCCAAGGTTTGCGTTTTTTACAGAGTACTGTTTTTCTTTCTTTCTTTTGCTTTTTTTTTTTTTTTTTGGTCACATCATCCTCGCATTATGATGCAACTTGTAAGGTATAAGCATTTTGAAGTAGAGTGTTTGGTTATTTGCAAGTTGGAAGGTAATTGAGATTAAGCGAAATTCAATGCTAAGTATTTAGTATGCTGCCTGTGTTTTAATTTTCTTCCCCTCTTTATGATGTATTTTTTGGGAGCTTCATTCTGCCTTTTAGTGGCTACACATCTTCATTATCGTAAATGGAACTATTTTGCAGGTACCAAATCCTTTATTCGACCTAGCAGGAATAATGTGCGGGCAATTTGGAATTCCTTTCTGGGAGTTTTTCCTTGCTACCATGATCGGCAAAGCAATTGTCAAGACTCACATACAGGTTTCTCAACAGATACCCACTCTTTTCCCAAATTAGATATATTTTTATGCTCATTCTTTTGTCCCAAATCATTTGTATTCCTTGATTTGCAATACAAGTGCATTATTTGATTTACCTTGAAATTTAAATGGAGACACTATTGTCTATGCAATTCTTCAGTTTTCATGTTTTGGTAAAATATGATAATTTACCTTTATTGTTGTGTCAAAACCTACACATACATCAAACCTGGGTATGATCATTTAACTTGATTCTTATGTCAAAACCAACAAATACATTTCATTTGGGACGGGTGGAGTATCAACCGTCACTTATTTTTTTTAGGCCTAAACCCCGTTACCTTATGCTGAATTCAATTTCATGAACCGTTCATTATCTGCAGACGCTGTTTATTATCTCCGTGTGCAACAACCAACTTCTTCACTGGCTGGAAAATGAATTCCTATGGGTGCTTAGCTTTATGCCGGGTTTTAGTTCAATCTTGCCAGACCTTATTTCCAAGCTTCACTTGATGAAGGAGAAGTACTTGGCCACCAAGCCTCATAATCCTTCGGATGTCGAGGTATTTTTGCACATCTGTTGGTCATATATTATCCATTTTCTTTTACTTTTATTTATTTATTTATTTATTGTTCTTTTAATTATCAGGTTAAAAAATGGGATTTCTCGCTCGCTTTTGTTTGGAACACTGTCGTTTGGATCATGCTGCTCAACTTTTTCGTCAAGATCGTGAATGCAACCGCGCAACGGTACCTAAAGAAACAGCAAGATAAGGAAATAGCCGCTTTGAAGAACAAGTCGTCCACGCACTCGGAATAATTCAATCCTCACGAACTTCTATCGGATTTCTTCTTTGCAATTTTTTACCCTTTTTTTTCAGATTACTTTTATGATTAGAAATTAGGGGCTGGAATTTTAATCACTCAGGTAAGGTTTACACTATGTACCACCTTTGAAGCCCCAAGAAAAAAACAAATGCATTTGTAAGTCCCCATTTGAAACATGTACAGAAGGAAAAACAACTGTCAGGACTCAGGATTATTATTCATTAATATTTTTTAAAGGGGGGGCTCTATTTTTTTCTAAGTAGAAAATGAATGTTAGCTAACATAAAATTGTGAATTTATATTTATTTTGTCTCCTGTGAAAATGCTCATACTATAGTCTATAGTAGTACCATGTGCTAAAACCTAAAACAATATTTTAATTTATGTTTGTAATCTTGAAATATCACTGTCACGTGATTATGGATTTGCAAAAGATTTTGGGCCACTAATTTTGTTTTATTTTATTTTTTTTTCTGAGATTTGTGCGATATTTGTGCTTTGTAGTTGAAAAGAAAACAAATTATGTAGAGCGAATCCAATTTATTCTTTTGCTTTTATAGTTCCAAATTTTAAGAAACGCGTTTAATTATTAATGCACGTGGTTGCAGTTGAAGCCATATTTATTTACATAATAAACAAATCAAATTTAATCTTTTGGGTCACCAACAAAAGACAAAAGAAAATTAAAAAAAAAATTAAGGAAAAAGTGTACCCAGGTCACAATGTGACCTTGGATCACAACTGGTTAGGGGGACAATTTTGGGGTACTTGTCTCATTTTATTGGACAAGTGTATTTTTTGGTTTCTAAAAAAAAATTAAAATTCATATTTTTTTATTCTCTACAATAGAGACCACACTTGATATATCTTAAAAAACAATTGCAATTTTTAAATTAAAATAAAATAAATATTTAGGTTGGAATGTCATAGGTGTTCTGGTAATTAAAAAGAAATCCTCTTTAGTTTAAAAACTAAAAATTCAATAAAGAACCCTCCTTAATACAAAAATTACTTTGAACCCCATGGCACAAGTTGGAAAAAACGTAGTACAATCTTTGGGGCATGTAGAACAACTTGGAGTAACTTCTGTTTTGTTATATCTGTGAATTGCTTTACGGAAAATGTTACAAGTACATAATAAATATACATAGAGATATACATAACACTCATATGAAACGGGATCCACTTAATTTTTTATTTTTGGTAGGTCCCACTAAATGTGAGTGTATATGAGTGGGGTCCAATTAATTTTTTATTTTTAGTAGGTCCCACTAAATGTGAATGTTATATGTACATTCATATGTGCAAAAAAAATACCGTACATTTATTCTCAATAATCCCCTCATTTTTTTCAGCACAAAAAAAATTAAGAACAATAATGTAGCTAGTGCAGTGGCTCGCTCCAAAGTTTCCTATTACCAACAAGAAACAATCTTGTTGCCCCCATCTTTTACCACATTCACCTTCTCTAGGGAGAGGAGGGCCGGACAATTATTTTTGCGCTTTGACCGACATATTAAATAAATAGATTCCAATAATTGAAATGAAATGTGAAACAACGCTCGGCACTAGCGAACAAAAACTCGTTCGAGCTCTTTCGTTTGTGAATCGAGCTAAGTTCGAATGAGCACAAGCTTGTTAGCGAGCATTAATTTAATACAATGTTATTTTTCTTTATTTTGTGATCAATAACGAGTTCGAGCGAACAGATCTCGAGATAACTAAGCAAATTTACAAAAAAGTTTGTTTACTAAATTATTCGAACACAAACATGCTCGGACACAAATTTTTGGTCGAAAAATAAGGAATGTTCGAACATAATCGAACATGAGCTCGAAATTCTCATGCTCGGCTTATTAATTACCAAGAGAGGGAGTGAACAAAGACAGGAGCAATATTACTAGGCAAATCACGTAGATCACTGCAGAGGTTTCACCTTTGATTAGTTCTGCTCAATGAATATATATTTTTAATTAAATGAGATGGTGAGTTATGGTTATGTTAAGCAAGAATGTTTCTAACCTCAGTAACAAGCCATCCACCATGTAAATATTTGATCCTTGTAAAGCCGGAAGTTACATCCTCAATTCTTATGGCATAACCGACCTTTTTGTCGTAATGTGACTCCACATCCTCAAAAGTCGAACAATTTTGAAATTTAGACTCTGAACTCAGTCTAAGGATTTTGAAAGAGGTCAAATGCAAGAAACAATGATGACATGAAATTAACTGACATGCAAGTATATAACATATGAAATTAACTGAAAAATATGCAATCACATAGGTTAAGAGTTAAGACCAATGACATATATACATTAAATGAAGTAGACACATACAAGCAATATTTCATGGATTCGAAAAATAAGTTAACCAGTCCACTAAAGACAATACTCGACTATTAGTCGATTATCCTTAGTGAAAGAATGTAATCAAAGCTTGTATAAAATATTACCGGCCACTCTCCATCTTCCTCACCCTATGAATAAGTTGCAGAATCATTTTCTCAATGCAAGTCAATCAAAATTTTAAACACATTTATCCACTATCGGGGAAAAAAAATCAAATTCCGATAATTGAGAACACTTATGAAATACTATGAACTACATTAAGAATGAAAATGAAAAAGAAAAAAGAACAAGTACCTGCAGCAATCGGGAGTGCTTTCCTGTGTTGTTCAATCTGCTGTCTCCTAAATAATTCGATTTAAAACACACGTTCATTTGACAAAAAAAGGACGCATTGAAACAAAAATTCACCGGCATGCTCTTAGAGAAACCCGACAACAAAAGTACCAGAAATGTAGTATTAAGTGCACCTAACCAGTTGAAATGTTGTCATTGCCAGTATACATTTGCCTCCATATAAATTTATATGGACCGGATTATAATATTTTCCAGGTAATTATAGCATGAGATTGTTATAGAAGAGGAAATCAAAAATAAGGAACGGACATGCACTGTTACAGGAGCATACATGGAATTGAAGTATTCAACTAAACCGGTTTATATCATATCCTTCACCCACACCAAGTCAAGAAGTTGTAACAAAGTAATCTGAAAAAATTTTGGAATGGAAGAATGAAAACTTTAGTAACAGGGATGAAAGATCATAACTGACGCAACTCTTTATAGGTAAATCTTGTTCCATTCAGTAAGAGGCATACCGGCAAGCATGAGAAACACAAGGCCTTAAAAACGAATATCATGAAAAAAGAAAGTTCAGTAGTGAGGCCAAAGTGCCAATCACACACACACACACACACACACAAAGGGAAATAGTAGAGCAAGTTGCAACAGGAAATCTAACGCGTAATGTGCAATTTGGGCACGTCTTTTTTCCTTCGTTGAGTCTTGATACACCTGCACAGAAGACGTAAATATCACTCCACAATCCTTCACAGTAGAAAGGTATATAATTCAAGAATCATCAGAAATGTCAAAGAAATCAATATAACATAATCGGTCAGATTATCAAAAAGTTGATCAACAAAAAAGTGATCAATAGAGGACCTAACGTACTAAGCCACAGTTACAAAATGAAACATAAAACTGAGAAGTTCTAATATCAGGGTCTTCAAGACTCA